AACCTTCTTAGAAATGTCAAAATGACATTTATTACACTGTCATTCATTTGCAATGGCCATTTGTAATTTTCATTCCAAAGACATTAAAGACAACAGGTGGTGATCTGATTTCCCTCTGTATGCTGTGAATCCCACTGGTTAATAAAGAATCTGCTTTGGGCATATTGCCTTGCAGAATAGGGCAAGGCGAGAATTCCAAGCAGATAGAAGAGGAGAGAGTAGGTGGAGTCAAAGAGAAGCTATGAAGCTACAGCAGGAGACAGACGCTGGACCGAACCTTATTGGTAGGCCACAAACAAAAACAGTAAACAGATTAATAGAAATGGGTTAATTTGATATATAAGAGCTAGCCAATAATAAGCGTGAGCTAATAGGCCAAATAGTTTTGTAATCGTATAGTTTCTTTGTGGTTATTTTGGGTCTGATCAGCTGGGAAACAATCTTGCAACCTCTGATAACAAGGTAGGACCACAGAAAAGGTACTTTTCTTGTGCTCCTGTTGCTGAAGTCTCCTTTGGCTGTGTGTAGTCACTGTGGTAGCTAACCTAACCACTCTAACCACGTTCTCTAACATCTCTGGCCATGTTTCACACTGTCCGAAGATGAACTTATACAACCGATGCCACTTTAGTTCCCCTTCACCAATTTCACATTCCGGTCCACTAAAATTGGCAGGCTTTTAAAAATAGGAGCTGTAGTAAGTTACCCTAGAGTCTCTGCAAGAAACTGCAAGGTAAACCTGCAGCTATGTGGTTGCTTAAAACTGCTCCATCACACTTTATTTATGAAGCTTTATTTATGAAGAACTTTGAAGAAATTTCTCAACTGCCAGTTCATTTCCTTGAGGTGTTTTGATATAGAGTTAACATGCTGCTTATTTTATTTCTTGGATTTCCATACAAATATAGTCATCCTAGTCATTTATAATGTACTGTTTTTCCCTAGAATGTCAACAGGATTGTTTTTTCTATAGAGTATACTTAATATATTGAGGGCTCTGACCACTGTGGGAAAAAGCCATTACAAGAAAGGGGGTTCATGCTATAGATACCAGTCTGGACAATCACATTTTATTTTTTGGTTTTATTCTTTGTTTTCTTTCTTTGCTTGAAGGTTATTGGTTAAAGTTTAATGTTATAGAAAGTATCATTTCTCCATCACCACTAACAACAAAATAAAATGAAAATATCCAACTTGTTGAACCTTCTGACATACTTCTAGAACTGTTTGCTAAATTCCACAATTAACTTTATAATGATTCTGGTATAAATCATAAAATCTAACTTTTTAATGAAAAGGGTTAAAGGTACTGCACACTCTCTCCAAACAAATCTAAGTCACTTTATGATTATATCTTTCTGCTAACCAAAAACCAACCCTTTCTTAATTGTTTTTAAGGAAAATATTAAACAGGTCAGGCTGTATAATTAGATTACAAGCTTTGTTAAAGCTGGGATGGTATTTAATATTTTATTAAATTAAATATTGAATTTAGTCTAGAGAACATAGTTGGAATGCATTTCTTCCTTGATTTAGATAATTCAATATCTCATTTTATCATAAAATGACATTCAAGTTTAAGTTATACATTGACTGTTGCACCAACAGCATATTCAATGCATAAAAACAGTCTGCACGGAAATTTATTTACAAAGGTAAAGTAGGTAGTATATTTAAATAATACTCAGGGGAATCACAAACGGGGCAAGCATAGGAGGAATACTAAACAAAAGCTCTGTCTATAAGTACACAAGAGCTTTCCTATTATACTTCTGTTATTCTTTTAATAAAAAAAACAATTGTGTGCTTGTTAAAATTTGGTTAACTTGACACAAGGTAAATCATATCAGAAGAGGGAACTTCAACTTCAGTTGAGTTTCCAACAGACTGGTCTGTGGAAAAGCTTTTTCTTGGTCAGTGACTGATGTGGGGAGAGCAGGCCAGCATACTGTGGATGGTATCATCCCGGACAGGGAGTTTATATAAGAAAGCAAGTCATGGGGGGCAAGCTGATAGGCAGCAGTCTGCCATGCCTTCTGCTTCAGTTCTTGCCTCCAGGTACCTGTCTTAAGTTCTATAAGAAAGAAGGCTGAGCAAAGCAGAGGTACAGCCAGTATGCAGCACTCTTCCATGGTCTCCACATCAGCTTCTGCCCCCAGGTTCCTGTCCAGTTTGCATTCCTGTCCAGACATTCTTTAATGAAGGACTGTGATTTGGAACTCAGTGATATGAATCAAAATAAACTCTCCACTCAAGAAAGTGGCTTTTGGTCATGGAAAGCAATCTAAAACAGCGTGAAAAAAAAAACAGATTTTTTTTTCTCATTAATGAACACTGAATCAAAGCAATAGTGATTTCAATACATTTATAACGAAGGCAAATTCAGCAAAAATCAAAAGGAAGTTGACTAAAGTTTGGTTAATCATTGTTTATCTGTGCAGCTGCACATACAAACACACCCCTCAACACATAATCACACACACATACACATTTGCACAGATGCACACATATATACTATTTCTCAGTTGCTATCAAACTTTTAACATTGGCGTTTTAGATAGGTAAATAATGAATCTCTGATCTTCATAACAAAAGAGAGTAGACAGTCACTAACATCACTTCTATTCAGAAGCATGGAGATAATAAAATGTGTGAAGGACAGAAGAGAGCCCAAAAATCAGTCACAGAACCATCTTGCGCGGCATTCTTTCTCAGTCCTGTTTCCTGGTTGATTCTCTCTTCCCCAGCAGCCATTTTGATCCCATTGTAAAAATATTGTTTCTTCTCTTTTCCTATTTTATCTTAGTTCGAAAAATTGTCAAAATACTACAGTTCATAAATACATTGAATTATATGTTGTCTGCCCTTTCATCAGAACAGAAGTTATAAGGAAAATGTATTTTTAATCAAAAGGTGGACCATAGGATATTTAATGAATACTATTGAAATTAACACATATAATTACATCTATTACATGACTGAATATATACATATACTTTTATATATTCATTTGAAAATTAGATGAATTTTACTTACACATTTTTAAAAAATCAAATAAAGTCAGTCATTTTTCAAGAAACCAAAATGGCAACTGAGTCATCAATATTTTCTGAGAATTTATCTTTCTTTTAATCAAATATTTACCAAAAAAAACCCTTACAATCCATGTCTGTAGTTATGTTTCGTTAGTGTGTCTATTATACTGAATTTGTACTGAGGACTAGTTGTATGGCGCAACATCATTATTAAGCATTTCATTTTGCTTTATTTTATTTTTCATTTAATTTTGTAATGAAAACTGAAAACATTACAAGCAAAGCCAACTATGTTGGGTCACCAAGAAATTAAATTAATTTGAGACAGAATATTAAGTAATAAGTAAGTTAAACCTAATAGAAATTTAATGGAAGCAAATATATTTCCTATTGTATTTTTAGAGAATGGTTCTAGTACTTAACATGCTTAAAAGGAAAGGGGAATCCAATGTAGTACTTTATGAATAAAAAATGATCTAATATATAGAGATGAAAAGTAGGCATTTATCTACTTTAAAAGGCAGGGAGGAATAGCATGGAGGTTCCCTAATGCATAAGGCTACTTAGGTAATTTCCATGTGGGGAGAGTTGAAACTTCAGTGAGATATACAGATAAATCAGTCAGTTGAGCTGTAAGTGCAAAAGAGATTTTAAGATACTGCAGTGTTCACAAAACTTTTCAGGGGATATGATGCTGAATGCAATCTTTATTTTTAAAACCTATACTGTTTATAAGAATTTGAGACAATTGAAGAACATAGCAAGTTCATATATTATATCCTATATTAAATAACTAAATATTCAATATTAGAGAATACTTGAAAATAAATTAAAATGATTCCACTTCAGTTTGTGTGTGCAGAAAATGTAAACTTAATTGTGACAAGGGGCAAGAATTTATTTTATAACTATCTGCTCTTAAATATTTACACAGTTTCTTCTTAATGCAGTCGGAGTAGCAAGAATGGAGGGGGCTGCAACATTTTTTTCATTTCTGTAACTTTACACAATCACAAGCATCCACAATTAAAGATCAGTAAAATTATTACTTTTGTAATTTGGAGATTTGACTATTTTACCACTTAAAAAGTGTTCATTTAGGTGGCTTATTCAATATTTATGTACTTCCTACAAAAATTATAAAATAATATATGAATGACAAATTATTGACTGGCTTAGTGACATTTTTTCACTTTCAAATCACTAATTTTAGATCCTTCCTTAATAGTTTAGAGAGAAATCCCATACATGATTTCCAAGCAATTCTCATGGTCATTTCCCTTAAGACTGTAATATACAAAATAATAAAAATATGGTCTGGTCAAATGATGCAACTGTACACATTCCACTGCTTACCAAAGAAGTTTCTGGGATTCCTTGTGAATAGATCTCTACAAACACTGAATTCAAACACACAATAGCACTTTATAACATGAGAAGTTAAGTTGCTCAGATGTGAAATAAATTATTATAAACTTCAAACCTCATGTTTGTTTGTCAAAATACATGAGTCAAGTATTATGTCCTAACATCACTGAAATCTTATAAGGCCTAAGCAGAATTTTCTTATGATTAGTATATCAGTCAAGTGGATCAAAGTGAAACAGAGAATAAAATGAGAGAATAGATGTGACTGCTAGATAGAAGGGAAAGTGTCCAACTAAGTTGTTACAAAATCCAAGTACTAATTTATAGAAACATCCCACAGAGGTTTTTAAAGAAGTGCAGCTATATGACAGCTACCTACAGAGAGAAGTAGGCGAGGACAATACAGGAAATATGTACTGAGGAGCAGGAGGCAGAGACAATGATTGAAGGAGACAGAGACATCAGGATGGGTAGCAGTGTGGTGCCAGAAAGGAAAAGACAGAGGAAATGGGGAAAGCCATCTGTGAATTGTAAACAGGGCCCCAAAAATTGCAGATCCTCTTCCATGTGCTAAGAAGCAACCTCAAAACTCAGTACCTTTGCTTTATCGCGCATTGATCCTTTGCCCAAGATAGACATCTTAGCACCTGTTTCTTCCTGTAGCCTCTTCAAGGAGTTTCCTCTTGGTCCAAGCAATTTCCCAACAAAATTGAACTAGAAAACAAAATCAACAGAATGCCTGAATTAAGGGAATGTAAATGTATAATTTATATCAAGTATAACTAATGATTGTGGGCTTTAAAACTTTATCATTAAGAAGTAAAAGGCATGCATCCACACATAATTACACATTTGCACATGTACACACCAAAACACCTGAAACTACTTCAGAACTCTAATCCGAGAGAACTTTGAAAAGAATACTACTTCCTAAAAGAGAACCAAGATCAGTAGTACAATGAAAATACTATTTATTCAAATAACCAAATATGTCACGCGCATAAAAACAAAGTGAAAAGATTACCAATGTCTCAAGGCTCTTTCTTGCCAGGTTATAATAGGCAATAAAAACCCACAAATCCAAGGAACCTCAAAACTGAAAAAGTTAACGCAATTAAACTTATTTAGAAATAAAATGTGCCACCATAACAGACCCAGAAAGACAATAATCATATGTATTTACTCATAAGTGGATTTTATACATAATGCAAAGAAAAACAGCCTACATATCACAATTCCAGGGCATCTAGACAACAATGAGGAACCTAAGAGAAACATAAATGTATCTAATCTACATAGAAAATAGTAAAAGACAAGATCTCCTGAGTAAATTGGGAGCATGGGGACCATGGGAGAGGATGGAAGGGGAGGGGAGAGACAAGGAGCAGAGTAGAGAAAAATGTACAGCTCAATAAAATAAAAAAAATAAAATGTGATTCTTATTTGTTTAACATTGCATATGTCTATATTTTTATACAACAAATATCATGGTCAGGAAAAGTGGGACTAATTTACTCTTCAATAGTTTATTCTATTATTACTTCATATCAGAAAATAGAAGATCTGAGCATTTAAAGAAAAAATTAAAAAGGTTATAACACATACATATTATATACATAATTTACTTATTCTAAATGATGACATAAACATAGGGATTAATATTGTTCACTAAAAATGAGGTTTTCATTTATGCTATATTGAAAAAACTATGTCCAAAACCTAGAGTATAAGATACAATGCAAAGTATATGTTCATAAAGGATAAATATTTTAAAATCACGATCTTATAATAAGAATGGGCACTTTTTCTTTTGTTGCTGTTAGAAACTGATCTTAAGATCTTGAGCATGCCAGATTTGTGTTCTACCACTGAGCAGCAGGTCTACCTCTTCAATTTTTATTTTGAAGCAGGTCTCTGGAAGTCACAAGGCTAGCCTCAAATCCACTCTGCGACTCGGGCAGGCTTCGAATTCCTCCTGCCTCAGCTGACCAGTAAGTATTAACTAGAGTACTTTGCCACCCAGTCTGGGGAGCAGCATTATTAGTTCTAGTGTAGGACTGGAAAAGAACCTAGGTAAGAAAATGGTGAGAAATGGGCAATGACTATTCATAATTACTGCATTTCTTTGTGTATGGTGAAATATTTCAAAACTTGATCATAGAAATAGTTTGTAGACCTCTGAACAAAGTAAAAATAGATGGATTGTGTAATTTAGATGTATTGTATTTAATTATGAGTAAAGTTGCTTAATAAATAATATCACAAAACACATTTTAAAAATTCATAATTTATGCTTAATGTTAGCATTAAGTACTTTTCTATAGGCCTATGATAAAGAGAACCTATCTACTCTGAGCATAATTATTTAATATTACATTGGGATGCAGATTGTTTCCCATATAGGTATTAGACAAAGGGATCAATTTACTTTCTAAAAGGATGACCATCAACTTATTTCCTACAGATGTACCAATATAAAAGAAAAAAATCTTGAAAATTTTATGCTAAATAAAGTAAATATTAAAAACAAAAGCACACAGAGAAGTTGGGGTCCACTTAGAGAACTATGGGAAAGCCATTATTCTGGGTAAAGATTTTTAAGGGTACCCAAACTCCTGTCAGTAACCCATTAAGAATGTTCAGTGTGTAAGTTCAATAAACTTATTGGTCTTCAAGGGGGAACTCAGGTGAAAGGCAATTCTTACTTATTTGTATAAACTTAATAAATGTACATTATATGATATTCGCTCACTAACAAAAGCTTATTTCTATGCTTGTATCTGGTCACAGCTATAGCTTCCCTATTAACTGAGGTTTTTGGATCCACTACTGAGAAATGGGTAAGAGGACTTTCTTTCAAAATGAAGGAGTGTTGGAAATTTAAAATATCAGAAATAATTATGTAATTAGCTACATCTTTTTGATGTGTTTAACTTTGGGAAATTTCTTTGAAGACATACTTGGAAAATAGCGCAAGAGTTGCTCCTTGGCTATTTTACCCTCCAAAACAGCAACGCGCATTAACTTGTCATGAAAGGTGAACCATTTCATTAGCATAGCTTTTCTCTCACCTTTCCCTTAAGGGAATAATTTACTCATTAAAAGCTAAATCAATCCAGCACAACAGGGTCTTTCATATTTAAACAGCATTTAATGTATTTAGAAATTCTGAGATTTTTAAGATGCAAAATAGTGAGTGTAATTGTGATTTTAATATATTAAATATCTTTAAACAGTTTGAAGATATTATTCATGTTTCAAGAAAATTAAATGTGTCTGTCAACTATTTTGAAATCACTTAACAATTGTTTGGAAAAAATTTTTTATTCCAGTATCTTGTGAGCAATATTATCACACTTTAAACTTTATAGAAGTTATCAAATTATTACATGGACATTAATTCTAATTTCCACATTTTAATTGATTTAAAACACAATAAAACATAATTAATGACAAATAATAATTTCTTATCAGAAATCTAAGGCCACATTAAGGAAAAAAATGGAATTTTTTTACAAATTAATCCAAAGAGCAATTCACAGTTTAAGTGATAATAATGTTTGACATTCATGCTTATAAATTAGCTAGTTTATCCTCTGACTATCCAAGAATGTTCTATTTGAGAGTTCTAGTTTTCTAGTTTCTCTCAAGGCTAACGAGGAAGTATGTGCTGTTCATCAATATTCATGTGAAATAACCCTGCTAAAATGTCACACTTGCACATGAATTCTGGTAGTGATCTCGCCCTTCTCAGAAAAGGGAGATCATTCACTTCCTCCATTCACTTCAGGTCTGCTTCTGCCTGCCCGAGAGGACATTGGTGAGCAGTACCATCTGGGAAGCATTGCTAGAGTACGGTCTCTGCTGGATTTCTGTCAGTCTTTGATATGACTCAGCTGTACAGCTGCCATAATTCCTGCTCCTTCCAAACTCTAGTCCTTATTCTTGCTAAACCTTGAACTCCTTATGTCATTTCCAGAACTGGCTTGAAGATGGAACACTTACTGTGGGAAGAAAGTCATAGATCTCTTCTCTGCTTTGGGAACACAGCACCAGGTCAAGCTTTAGCACTTTAACTTTTGTTTCTTCACATTAAAACAAAGCAATGGAAATAAGGACATATGCACAGAGAAGGTGTAAAAACTAGTATTTCTAAATCAGTAGAGCTGAAATGACAATACTCAAGTATTCACCTCATCATCACCAGAAAGTGTTGGCAAGGAAGAGGAGAAATTAATTTGAATAGAGTAAAACAGTTTAATTGCATTTAAATGGAGTGTATGCTGTATTTGTTTTAAAAAGAAACTTTGTGTAGAGCACTGTGGCACAGGTGTGTGGTCCAGCATCTGGGAGGCTGAACCTGCAGGACCTCAAGCTGAAGATAAATCTGAGCTCATGAGGGACACCACAATATGAAAATAAATACTTGAGCTTCAACAACAGTCACAAAAAGACAAGGCACAAAATGGAAAAGAATGTTTTAGAATATCTAGAAATAGCCATTAAAGTGCAGAACACTATATTACCATAAAATTAATTTATATATATTAATATATACATATATACAAAAAATAAGATTTAGAATATGAAATAATTATTTATCCCACTAAATTACTTAGGAAATGTAGAATAAAAATGTAATTCTATTTTTTTAAAACCGTCCAAAAACTTACAACTTCCCTAAATGGAAAGGAGCCTTTCATATAAAGTGCTACATAATTATTCAAATGTGGTAAATGCTCTTAAATGAGTACAGATTAAGACATGGGAAGATCCAAACAAAGGAGAGAAGAAAACTATGAGGTCCACTCTTCCTTCCGTTTTCTTATTGAGTGAGGAAGTAGGAGAGATATAGAAAAGTTATGAATATGAAGTTTTGAATAATATGCTGTGGAATTCGCTGCCCTAAATTTTTTCAGGCCTAATATAAAATGTTTAGTGTGCCTTGATGAGCAGTAACAAGCGTGTAAACAGAAGACTGTATAATGGAGGATGAAGGACACAGGAAGAGAGATGTTGGCAATTAGGCATGACCTACTACAGGCTTGGAGTGATCTGGTAAGTATGGGCCTCAACACATCCTATTTCCTTATTCACCAATATAAAACATAATAGCATATATTTGGGGCAGACATGAAAAAATATTTTAGCATTAGCAAAATAATTATATATAGAACCAAGCTGTTGAGGACATTTTGCAATATTTTCAAAGATGGTGACACTGAAAACAGAAATCCAGAAGTCCTAGAAGCCATGCACAGTGAGAAATGGAAGATGATGATAAATGTTTAATAATAGATGCCCGGTTCCTAGGTAGAGAAACAACTTAAATTACATCACACAAGCAGAAAAAGGTAAAGAAAAAAGCCTGGGAGAAAGCTCAGAGAAATACTAAGATTTAGAGAAGAAAATAAGAAGAAAAGGTAAGAGATTTTTGCTTTTGTTGCTTGTTTTTCTCCTGGAGGAATAATATAGAACCAGGAAAACAAGAGGGAGCATCTTTGACACATTGCTTAAGTTGTCACTAGGAATCAGAGGCTGCACTGTCAGCCGCCTGAGCTGCAGAAGTCTGTCCCCAGGAGGTTCTGGGGACAGAACGACTCCTGCTGAGGTGTGACTGCTTCAAAGTCATACCAGGGGAGGGAGACAAAGGTGTCAGAAGATGCTCTGGGGCTACATGCTATTCCAAAGCACCTCCGTGCTATTTCTCCTGT